AGTACTGTATTAGACTTACGGTACCTAATTTACATACTGACAGACGATAGTTAGTGTAAAAATCTTCGTAGCGTGGTGCCACGCTAGACGGCGGAAATTATATATTTAATTATAACAAAGTTACAATAAGTTAATATATAATTATATATACAGTACCTAATTTATATATAATTAATATATAATTATATGTACAGTACCTAATTTATATATAATTTATATAATACTGTCCAGACGATAGAAATCTCTCCGTAGTTGGCGCTACGGACGGCGGGAAAGTAGTTCGGCTGCCCGATGACGTTTGAGGTAATCATAGGGGGTTTTTTTACTGTTTTTTACGGATACCAGTCACAATTTTTTCGTAGTTTTATAAGAATCATAATTATAGGGGGGTCGACTGTAGTTAAATAATCAAACGATTGATGAATTGGGGACATAAATAAAATCCTGACGAAAGAGCCGGAATTTTACTTAAACAAAAGCTTAACCGAACCAATCTCTAGCCGAGTACGGTGGGGACTGAGTTCTTCGTAATATTAGACGTAATAAAGAGAGACATTTTTCCAGTTAAATAAGAGTGGCCGAAAAGTTGTAAATTTTGGAAATTTCCGTGGTCCTAAAACGTATTAGTTAGAAAACAAACGACGGACAATCTATTAAGTTTAACATATTTAGACTTTTACAGCTATGGTGAGAAACATTTAAAAATTACAACAACCCTGTCGCGTCTTTTCAGATATACTAGTGATGCGACAAGAGGCATTTCACATTAACTCGTACTGGCACCCTCGAGATTTGGCACGCATGCACGCGCTGCACACCTACTAAGACCGTCTCTGATTCTATCCATGAACCACTGGTAGGGAGCCATTTTAACTAAGTGGATTGCTTTAATATTTAAAAAGTAGAGAATATTTTATATTATTTTTATGTATGTTTCTTCACAAAACTATATTTAATTATAATTTTTTTAAAAGTATATTCATACAATTGAATATTTTGTACCAGGTATGTATAATTGTATACCCATCACACATTTTATTTGAACAAATAAGTTTTTATAATTTTATTTTTAATTTTAGCCCTTATATTATGGCTAGCGATTTAGAATATAATTATGATATTCAAAATTTATTTCAAAAAAGTTTTGGCTCAAGACCATAGAATGAAAAAATTATTAAAAGAGAATGACCAATGCCTAAATTAAATATAAATATGTCAACAAAAAAATTTATTTGACATTTTCACGATAAAATTTATGAAGATGTAAAATGGCTTTGTGGTGCATAAAAATACAAAAATTGTTTTGTTGGCCTTGCCTACTATTTTCGAATGAAATTAGTGTGTGGAATAAGAATGACTTTGACGATTTAAATAATTTGAGTATAACTGGCAAAAGACACGAAAATCGTAAATCTCGCATCGATTCTTTCTTAAAATTGAAGCAATTTGAAAATCAAAGCGGAATAGAATTTAACATTAGTAAACAATATAAAATAAGTATTAAAAATTATAATGAAGTTACGGCTAATAGATATAATATATCTAAATTAGTAGATGTTATCGAAAAAAGAATTGGTATTTAGAGCGCGTAGGCAATGTATTGAATCTAATATAACAGAAGTAATTAATTATATTGAACTTGCTTATTTATTAAGTGCGTTAGATAATCCATTAATTAAAAATACATTTAGAGAAGTCTACGGTTTTTATTGGCTTATCGAATAAACGAATACGAATGGACCTTAGACAATCACTGACTGATTGCCCCTGGAAGTCGGCTTCTTACAGAAACACAGCTTCCCTATCATCAAATGTCACGGCACGCCACTGATAATTATATACGAACTTTCGGTCTGGATTCCGAGCTCCTGTCTCTAGCTTTCCATGTCTGGTTTGCCTATCATTTATTTAACTCTGATTTTGAGATTAAAGAAGAACAGATAGGCAGACAGACAGGCGACAGTGGGAATTTATACGTGTACAGTTGTTTTCAAATTGCATCCCAATAAATACATAAAGCAAAAACAGCATATTTTTAACGCACTGCATAAAAAATATTTTCCTGACGCTTTGAAATGCTTCAGTTATGACAATTTTTTCGCAGTCTTAGAAACATCAAGTTCATAACCGAAAATGGAATAAATTACGAAGTTGAAATTACTATTCATTCCAATAGTAACTTGGTAATGTTATTTTTCTATAACGTATTAAAATGTTTACTTCCGCATTTAAAGGATAAGTAAATAATATCAATATAAGAAATTATTTTATGTTTCAGAGCCTTTCATTTACGAAAGTGAATAGTCAAATTTCATTTTCTATTTTGTTACAAGTACCCCAGTATTTTCTTATGTCCATTGGGGAAATTATGTTTTCCGTTACAGGAGCATCGTATTTCTATTGTCAGGTAAAGTGAATAATTCGACTGCTAATACGTGAGTTAAAGAAAATACAGGATGTCACAAATTAAATTTGACGTTCCCCAGCTCGCTACAAAAAAAGACTTTGAATATTTAAATAATTTGAGTAAAGCTGGCAAAAGACACGAAAATCGTAAATCTCGCATCGATTCTTCCTTAAAATTGAAGCAATTTGGAAATCAAAGCGGAATAGAATTTAACATTATTAATTAGAAAGTCATAAAAGTTTGTGATTGCCTTAATGAAATGATGGGAAATTTTGTAAAGCAAAAATAGTAAGTTCAAGAAATCACCACTAGACAGCGCTTTTTAAGCTGAAATAGTGGCATATTGGCCTGCAATATCCCCAGACTTGAATACATGCGATTTTTTGCTCTGAGGCTATCTCAAAGACTTGGTCTACCGTACAATAACTTCTGTCAGACCTTAAAGACAGCATAGTACGTCATGTGCGTAACATTTGAAGGCATACACTGCATGCAACAGTTCAACATGCTGTTTTACGTTTTCAGATGGTAGCAGAAAAGAGTGACATCCTCTTTTGAACATTCACATTAGTCAGGTAACTTGTGGAGTTCATTGTTATGTTCTGTATAAAGCTATAATAGTGGTAGTTTTTGGAACTTACTTTTTTGCTGTAGGAAAAGTTCCCATCATCTCACCACGGCATTCTCAAGATTTCAAGACTTTCTGATAAATAGATTTTAGCCAGCTGGGAAATGGAACACCCTGTACATCAAAGTAATCTTTCTGTAGGCACCAAAGTCTATGAAATCTGTAATTCAAGCGTTATGGATGCTGACACCTACGTGTGGAAATTTGTTGGTTATGATTATTACTGAGATCAAAATATTTGGAAAACAAGTAAGATAAATATTTTTACTTTTTAAATTTAATTTTACAGAAAACGTTTAAATTTTTAAACGTTTTCTGTAAAATTAAGTAATCTTTAAATATTCAAAAAGACTTATTGTATAATTAAATGTTAAAATTTTGCATGAAGTAACAACGCTTTAAATAGTGTTACGTAGTTAACGAACACTTAACCCAAACGAATCACAATTTTCTTCCGATCTTTTTTTTTTGCAAACTACCAAAAAAGTGATGTATAATATTAAAATACAAATTATCATCAGAATTTGTCTCTACGTTTTCAATTAAACATCTTTCGGACAAAGATTAAATAAACGAAGCAAGTCCTCTCGTCTACTATTTTGTTTAGCAATTAGCAATTGTAATTAGAACAAACCTTTCTAATTACAGACGTTCACTGCCAACAAACAAAAAGATCCACCACCCGTGACGTCACAGTTCGACCAATGGATCGCCTGATCCTAACCCATTTTATAGTTCTGAACGCATCATAAGTTGGCAGTTGTCAGCGGTGAGAACAGGGTACCCAATGCCCTAGGGGTTGCAATAAACAATTAACTTATATACACTAATAAAGCACTCTTTCCCTAAAACTGATTGAAATGCGGTTTAGTCTGGTTTGACACAACAGTCAACTTAGGGTCGGAAGGACTATATCTATCTCAATTGATTTATGTTCTATGTTAATGAACAATATTAATTCTATGAAAGGAAAAATACCCCCTTCCCAAAGATTTCTGCATTTTTGGATTCGGAAATTCGAAACTTCGTAAAATACAAAAAGTCAGGGGTTTTCTCTGCATGTATATATGGATTTGTGTTTATATAAATATGTTATATAGATTTGTGTGTGGGGACACGATTTTATTTACCCACTTTAAAGCTTCATAACTCATGGACTTTTTGGTCGAAAATTTCTGAAATTTTGCAGGGAGTTTTGGGTATTAGGGGAATTGATGCTATTAAATTTTGGTGGCTGAAGGTCGAGGAAATGGAAAGATTGAGGGTCACTTGTCATATCTAGATTAGGGTCGGACTTACGGAAGATGTTATTAGTTATTAGCTTTTACAATTTGTTTTTACAAAACTGATTTCTATCCTTAAAATAAGGTCTTTTGCCATTTTATAATAATTAATAATATAAAAATTTTTTAATANGCAACGGGAAACCACTCTGGTACTAACTTTTCCAAGCTTTCCGAAGAATCACTTGGCTCAACACTGATCACTAATTAACTCTGCGCCAGGTGCTCACTGACGTCAAAATCATCTGATATGGCATGAAGAAGAAAAAATTAAAAATATGATTAAAAATTGCAGCCCGGCGTTGTGACGATGTCATAATAATTTTTGTTCGTTTATAATGATAATTAATTACGAATAAAGTGCGAGCATGTACAGTATTCATAGTTACATTAGAATGAATTTCACAGATTGCTCATATGTGAGTTCATTAACCATAAATTGATTTAACTTAAATTTTAGGAAAATTTGAATAAATGAATTTTAGTAAAATTATATTTTCAAAAAATAAATTTGTTATAACTAATGTCTACTGATACAACTGTTTTCCTCTATTTTTTATAAACAAAGAATAATTTTTATAAATTATTTATTGAAACTTAAAGTGTAACTACTTGTATATATTCATCACAAGGAGAAATATAAGAATCATTAGCAACTGAATTCACTGTATTTAATGTTAATGATAAAAGCATGTTGTATATTTAACAATAAACTTTAAATAGTTTACTATATTTCTATGATATATATAATTTAATTTCGTGTTTAGGATAAATATTACCTGTGATTTCTTGGGTGATTTATACTTTCAATTTTGTGAATCTTTTTGTAGTTTAATTAAACATTTAATTTTAATACATCTTAATAAAATTTTAATTTATTTTAAATGCTCATGCAATTTTATTTTATTAATTAGTAAACAAATATATAAATTAATTTTTTTATATATTCATATATTAAATAACTAACTTATTACTTCCGAAATTCATAAACAGTAAAATGCAACCAAAAAATTAAATTATTAAATATGTTTTAATTGTACACTATTTATACAAAAACTTCATAATAATTTCATCAGAATAATTTTAATTTTTTACTAAAGCCTAGTGTCCTATATATATAGGACGGTCCATTTCTCAAAATGTCTGAACCGAATGTGACCGAACAAAGTACAATTAAATCCATGAATATTCTTGTCTCGTTTTAGACGTACCATTTTTTAAAATATTTATTAAGCTTAATTTTTCGTTTTCTCTCATATTACTTCATATTATCAACGTTTTTACGCAGAGTCAGGGTGGCGATACTTCGAGCCTTAGGCAAAACTCGTGACCCGGTCATTGCCAATGAGAAAATAAATTTATTTAGTGTATTCATATAAAAGCATAAGAGTTATTACACTACAACTATATTCACTTTGTTCGCTAACCATTTAAATTTAATTAAATATAAAGGAAAAACATTAAAAATATTATTATGAGATCCTTCGGTATCCGGCCATAAACAAATATAATTGTATTGTTTAGCTAGGCCTGTTTTAGGTACAATTTTGAACACAACCTGAATAAATTTAAAACAGTACAGAAAAATGGACAGGGTGAAAAAGTTGTCAATTTGTGTGTCTGTTAAATTATGAAAAATACACAAATTATGTACGGTTCAAACCTTTAAATATACAGTAAAATTTCACTTCACTTATGTACACAATTTTTGGTCACGGGTGGGGTTATAGAAAACTACACATAGAGAATTGTAATTTGAGTGCAACACTTAACTATACTAATTCAACTAAAAGTTTACTACACGTTTAGGTAAACAAAATATAAAATAAAACGAAAAATTTTAATAATACGGTACGTCCTTTGCAATATACACTAGTTTACACTTTTATACACAGTAATGTACTGATAATACAGAGTAATATAATGAGTAGTACAGTAGAATATTGAAATACAGAGTACAGTGAATGCAACTTTCTTGTTGTAGAGTTCATGTAGCTTCTGTATAGTACAGCAATATACAGATTACTTAGAGGGAATATGTTTATGATACAGTAGTAAGGATTTATTGAAATATTGTATATTAACAGGAAAATTGAAAAGTTACTAAACAGACGTCAGTAAATATACAGAAATGCGCAAGTGTCAGAAAAAAGTTTCAATAATTAAATTGGCTTTTACATCAAACTAGTCCATAATTGTTTTGTTGCAAAACATGTATCAGTGACTTAAATAGTTAAACTTTTAAAAATACAAACACATTTTGTATCCAATAATTTGAGTATGTGCAATTTTCATTCTTTCTACTGAATTCTAAAGATATATTTAATTTGTGTAATATACATAAAAATTATTTTATTTGATTGTCATGTATGAGTGGGAACTTGGAAAACGGCTCCGAAACTAAAGTGTGAGAATTCTAGTGTAGCGATAAATTTTATTTAAAGTTTGTAGAATTTATAATTTAATGTAATATTTTAACGCTAAAAGTGACACATTTGTCACCTTTTGTGGGAAAGGGTAAAGGTAAAACTTCCTTTTAAACAGATGTTATCACACATCTCCGACAATCATCTGTTCATCTGAGCTAGGACAGATATCCTGTTAGACAATAGAATATCCCGTCAGGTGTTATGAATCCAGAAACCCGATAGGAGGAAATCTGAGATAAAAAGAAGTCAAATTTACGATATCAGGAAGACGGCTCTAAAAGAGAGAAGACCCTGTATCCAAGAGACGGCCATAGAAGTATAGAAGCAAAATACATGTCCAACTCCCCTCCTCCAGGCGATCCCCGTCTCCATATCCAAAAGCCGAATCAACCAGATTAGAGGTATCGTTATTAAACTCTCTGATATTTAGAGTTGTAGTTAGTTCATTTAGTTGTTAGCTTATTTTATATATACTTTTTATATTTATATTAAATTCTGTGTTTTGTAGTTGCTCCTGTCGAATCATTCAATTTATGNTATGATTATTAGCAAAATCAGCAACAAAGCTGCAAAAATGTCACAACCATGAACCAAGAAGTAATATACATTAATAAAAAAGTAACAGAAAGCAGCCGTCAACTGATTCGTAGATTTCGCTATAAACCAAAAGGAACGAAATGCATGAATGATATTCATATAGATTATTAATCCGATATAAACTGTAACCGCACAGTTTATGATAAATAACTGTAGTTTTTGGATTCTCTTAATTTCTCTCGAATTGAAGAGGCCGAAATTAATGCCGCTTTTCTTCCTTTCGTTTAATACAATGAGAAGAAATATAAGAA